TTGAGCCTCCATGCTCTGGCTGTATATGAAAAAAAGAGCCATTTTTGCTATTTTTGACCTTAAATTTTCTTATGGGAATTAACATGGGAAAACTGTCCAAATTGGTCCTGTGCTCTTGCTGTACATATACTGCCATCTATATCTATAACATCTATGTATGTGATGTGCCTTGAATCATCAACGAGAAGCAGGTCAATGAGTGTTTGACTGACATCATTCACTCTTGTTGCCTATTCAGTTTCTCTCTGTAATTGATTGACGTTACAATACCATTTGTTATCCATGGTTTGATTTTCTTTTTCCCTTCAAACGATATGATTTTTGCTGTGTAGCTAGTGCAGAATCAATTTCATGAATTTTTCGAAGGCTATTATATGGTCAGTGGTATTCTACAACTGTAATTACTTATTATTCGTAGGACTTTATCGGTATCAGTTTTATTAATGGTCGTGTTTTTAGTATTCTTGTTGATCTGCCTTGATAAATTTTTTATTGTTAAAAAAATTGAGGAGTGATCAGTAATGTTCGAGTTGATTACGAATGATTCGGAATTTGGTTTGTCTTCTTGAAAATTTCGTTGTAGGAGTAACTCTTGTACAACTATTCATGTGGGATTCAAATCCTAGAGACATCAACATTGATATATAGTTGTTTATTGTTATATTATCATCATCTAAGATATAATAGTTTAGGTCACCAATGAGAATATCAATATTCTGCTTCCTGTTATTCTAAATAAAAGTTTCCGAGTCCTCTATAAAGTCATTATTTTGTGATGTTGTAAGATATTTTATTCAAATCAAATCTAATGCTACTTATGGTTACCTCAGTTGTAGGTCAGGTAGTATGTGTAATATTATAGTTTATATATGTCTTGATGGAAATGAGTACTCCATCACACTGGTTCATTGTGCCATTGTTAAATAAGGTAACATAGCCAGGGATTCTGAAATCATTCACATTGTTGATGAATCTAGTTTCACCTAGTATAGTACAAAGTTTATATTGATTCATTTTTCAGCAAGTTCATTTACTTCAATTGGTTCTTCTTTTTCTCTCATGAAGAGTGTTACGGATTCCAGTCTATTTGGTGAATGTGCTTCCATCTGTGACTTTCGTTTTCAAAGAATATGTAACTGTGATTTTAAGATAAACACTATGATAAAAAAAAACAGACTAGGAAGAAGAAGAAGTATGATATACATTGCATAGTTAATTCTACTTTTGAGGATGTTAATGTGATACGTAAGTGTGTGACATCTTGGATCGTTGCTTTGATGGTCAGTAGTATAGTTGGTTCTGTACTTTTTGTTGGAAGTGTCACAATTCCTGCCAAATTTAATTTGTTTCGGACATGTATTTTCTTCATGCTCTCCTGAGCATATTAGGCAAACTATTTCATTCCTTCAATCATTATTTTTTGGTGAAAATATTCTTGACAATTATAGGATTTTGGTACACTTAGGTCCTCATATACTGCATATCTTTCCCATCCAATACATAGTTTTTTTAAAGTCAAAATTTGATGAAATGCTCTTGGGCTACACTTGCATATAGCTGTTTTTGTTGCATTTTTGTTTGTGCGGATGAAAACGACTCCTACTTCGTCAGTGATATAGTTTTGTTTTCTTATATAACCTTCGATTTCTTCAGCAGTAAAATATTGAGTGATGTTGACTATTTTTATTCTTGGTTGTTTCAGTTTTGTCAATTCTGTGTTGTAGTCATTTTTCATTTCGTTTTCTGGTGCTTGTTTTAGTATTTCGGTTTGTTGGTTTGACATTCGATTATCATTGTTCCAGTTCTTGTTTGCTTCATATTTGTAATACCAACTTTAAGTTGAATAGGATTGATCTTTGTATTTATGTCATTTTCAATCTGATTGTTCGGTTGTTGTTGCTTTGGTTCGATGATTGTTCTTCACTATCCTGTTTTCTGGTATGTATTCCTGTTTCAAGATTCCGGAGTAGGTAAGAGAATTATGTTTCTCCTGCAGTGTGATCTTTGATCATTTTCTCTTTATCTGCAATTGTATTCTGTGAGATATTCAGTTTATTGAAGTTTCGGCATTTTTTGCATTGGTATTTTGATGTTCTTTTATGTAGAGGTATGCACCACAATTCCGTTGCACTTAATTTGCTGCATTCAGCGCATTTGAGGCTTCTACAGGAATCACATGGTATGGGTGCTGTCTTGGCTGCCGGTTGTTTTATTTGATTACATTGGATGCATTCCATTTTGGATACATTTTCATATTAATACTAGAAAATTATGGGTAAGTACTACGCCACTATTTGGATTTACACAGATCCCAGTTCTTCTGGCACAGCTGGTATGGTTTTTTGAATTAATCAGTTCTCATCCATTTAGTTTTAATTCTTTCACTTTCTTTAAGTACTTTCTCAAATCGGTATGGGTTTCTTATATTACCCACTTCTTTGCACACGTTTGGTCCACATGCACTTTCATGCAATTTTTTAGTTCTTTAGTACTAAAGTTTGTTTCACTTGATAGCCGAGTTTTTAATACACATTTTGATATAACATTTGCATTTCATAACACTTCCTATCCTTCAAGACTATACTATGAGTATATACATAGTATATTTATTACTATGAATCATCCCATATTGAACAGAAACGAAAATTTTGAATATAAGAGATGTTTTTCAGATGAATCCATAGCGAAGTTCACATCTGAAATTGGACAACGAACCTGGTATGAGGTTTTCCATGAATACGACACAAATTCGAAATGGGACATTCTTTCGCGGATTTCTGGTGACCTTTTTGATACCGGTTTTCCCATGAGGAAACCCAGAGGAAAGCCAGTAAAAAACAAAAAGTGGATGAATGATGAAGTTCGGAACATGAAGGAAATTGTTTATACCCTGCAGATAATGTCCCTTGGAAATGAACTTTTAGAAGAAGTAAACAATGAATATAGAGAATCTCACAGGATACTTTCGAGAAAAACAAAGAGTGAGTACTTAGCCAATATAATTAACTAGAGCGACAATAAATCTAAGACCACTTGGAACATGATGAATATCCTGAAGAATAAGACTGTGAACTCAACAAATGTTGTACCTGATAATCAGGGTGATAATGTTGATCTAGCAAATGATTTCAATGCGTACTTCATTAATTCATGCGCCGACTGTTGCAGATAACAAAACATTCAACCAGAACGACGGCATTATGCATGCTGGAATGAATCCAAAATCGATATATCTTCACCCGATTAGTGACGAAGAAATATTACAGGCAAGTTACAGGCTCAAGAATAAAATGAGCAGCGGTATAGACAATATTCCATCTAAAATTTTAAGGAAGTGTGTCAATTACCTTTTACCAGTTCTATGTCACTTGTTCAATTCCTGCCTTGAATCAGGTACTTTTTGAGATCGAATGAAGCTGGCAATAATGATACCATTGTACAAGAACGGAGATTTGAATGACTCCACAAATTATAGAGCAATGAGCTTGCTATCAGCCTTTTCTAAGTTATTCGAAGTGATTATCTCAATGAGAATCATGAGGTGTTCTGAAGCACATAATGTAATCAACGAAATCCAACATGGTTTCCTCAAAGGCAGAAGCACAGAAACAGCGCTTTTCGATGTTGTGGATCAAGCTCATTACCTAATGAAATCAGAGTCTTGTGCATGCGGTGTTTTATCAGATCTCAGTGAAGCTTTTGACTGTGTTGTTCATTCCATTTTAATTCACAAACTCGACAATTATGGAATAAGAGGAAAGGCATTGGATTTCTTGAATTTATATTTGAGCAACAGAAAGCAAGAAGTATATATTAGGCAACAATTTGGGGAATTTTTATCAGGTTTCATTGAAATTGAAAATGATGTACCACAAGGGAGTGTGCTAGGTTCGTTACTTTCCATTATTTATATAAATGATCTTCCGGAAATATTCAATAATTCGACTACTACAGTTGTTAGCTATGCAGACGATTTAAATCTCATTTTACCAATTGACAACTTTATTCATTTGGGGAACACACTATCAACTGATATATCATCAGTCTCCTCATATTTCAACAAAAATAAATTAATTCTAAACACCACAAAAACAGATTGCACTTTTTTCAAAACTAGCCGCAAAAATATCAACATTCCGGAGTCAATTCATCTGGGATCCGAAGAAAAATTATATTTCTCTACCGATGCCAAAATGTTAGGCGTATATATATAGATGACATGCTGAATTTTGAGATGCATATTGATCATCTTGGAACAAAACTAGCATCAAAATGTTTCGCAAGAAGAGTATTGAAGAAAAACTTAAATTTGGAAGCTCCGAAAACAGCAAACTATGAGATATACTTCTAATGCAAAAAAGAATCATGCGAACAATGCTGAACATGAAACACACAGAATCTTGTCGTGCTATTTTCTAAAATCACAAAATGCTAACGGTATATGCGATTTATATTTATGTACTATTTGTACATGATGATAAATCAAAATTCGAAAAGGACACATACAAACATGGATATCCCATCAGGCAATAATCAAATAATTACATTATTCCTGAGCATAAAATTTAAACACTGAGAAGGGACCGCACTATGCAGCTATAAAATTTTATAACAATATACCCTTGAAAATCAGAGTAGACTGTACCAAGAAAGGAATCTTCAAAAAACATGTTCTCGATCTATTGTATGATGGCATCGTTGTATAAAGTATCATCCTTTGACGACTCCAAAAATTTTAATAAATAATCATATTCTTATATAGAAACAATTGAAAGAGTGTATTCGAGAATTATTATAAAGGAACAGTGCAACGCTGAGTAAGTTTTTGAACAGAATATCGCATGTTTGGCTACGCCTGTGACGAAAATCTCTTGGAAGAAATCAAAACACGAACTTTGGACTGTTGGATTTCTCCACAACCAGCGTTCCTGACCTCTCGCATCGTTGCCAAGTTTCAACAAATTCTCAGAGCCACCCATACAACCATCGAATAAAAGGGAATGGATGATGAAATCAAGCAAATGTTCAGAACATTATGCGAACAAAATAAGGAAATAAGAGATGACATAAAATCAATCAAAGAGGAGCTGCTCACTTCAAATAACAGAGTCAGGGAGCTAGAAGAAAAAGTTCTAGACCTAGAAGGGGAAAACGAAAAGCTCAAAAAGTGTGTCGAAAACGGTAACAGGAAAACCAAAGAAAATAATTTGATTATATACGGCGTGGAAGAGAGAGAAGATTCAGACTCACTAGATGAGCTTATTAATCTGATGAAAGATACGTTGGACGTAAATTTACAAGAATTTGAAGTTGGCAACATTTACCGTATAGGAAAAAAAGACACACAGAAAACACGTCCAATCGTTTTAGAACTGGTACGATACTTAAAAAAACAGGAAATATTGAGTAAATGTAATAAATTGAAGGGGACTGGTATATCCGTAAGCCATGATCTCACACGCCAAGAAAGGGAAGAAAAATTAATACTTCTCAAATATTACAAGGAAGCTAAAGAAAAAAACTACCAAACAAAACTTTACCGAAATAAACTGGTAGTAAATGGGGACATCTACACCTATCAGGATCTGAGAGATAGGGAGAATATTCAGGTAGAAAAGGAGGACAGAATTGAGAATAATATTGAAGAACAAACAACAAGGGAAAAAGCAGTGCATACAAAGGCTGCCAAAGAACCTACCTACGCCACTAGAAATCAAGAAAAATCACGTCAGAGGATTCGTGAAGAACTCCCCATTCCACCTTCCAAAAAAATTAAAGAATAAGTATTTTGATAACACTATGTTTATATTTGTATGTGTTTCAATTTAACAATCATACTCAGATACTTCGCAATTATTCTTCTATTTTTAAAGTGTATTTTAGATATTGAATGACTTTTTACCATTATTTCTTTCACTTTCATTTACTTATATATATTTTTTAGACTTTTTCAACTATTTTTACTGTTTTGAAAGCATATTTTAGGTGTTGATTGCCTTCGTATCTATTTCATTATTCATTTATATTTCACTCCAGGTATAGTCAGTAATACGATGGATCAGTTTATAAGGGACTATAATTACCAAGAATTCCCAACGTCAATCTTGAATAGCACAGAAAGTTACAATTCATTGAATTTAGGAAAAGAAAATCTGAAAATATGGCATCAAAATATTAGGAGCATCTCAAAAAATTTTGAACAATTGGAAGTTTATCTGAATCAATGCATAGAACCTTTCGATTGCATAATTCTTACAGAAACATGGAACGTGCTGGATGTGAATGACTTCAGTTTAACTGATTATGACCCGATATACAATTCAGGCAACATTAATCAGAATGATGGGATCCTAGTTTATATAAAAAAGACGCTAAACGGCAAAACAAGCATAACATCAATAGGGTGTCTCAAAGTCATTGAAGTTCAAATCGATATGAGCGGAGAACTAGTTGATATAACTGCTATATATAGACCACCCTCAACTGATGGAAACGAATTTATCGAAGAACTCCATTCTTATTTAGAAAATAAAGATCTCAGCTCCCCCTATAACATTATTATAGGTGATATGAACATTAACTTACTCTCAGAAGATGATATCTCACTTGAATATTTGAATGTTCTTAGTGAATTTAATTTCATCTCTACTATCAATGTTAGCACAAGAATACAGGGCAATTCCAGCACTTGTATAGATCATATCTTTTTGAGAACGACGAATCTTGATTATAAAAATCTTATATCAACATATGTACTAGATACTCATATGACTGATCACTGCGCCACTATGATCGCGTTAAAAATAAATTAAAATGTAAAAAATTGTGAACCTAAATATACTCTTAGACGGATTGATTACCAGAAATTAAAATATAAGATGTCAGTGTATAACTGGAATGAACTTTACAGTATGGATGACCCTTTGACTGCAAATGCTTTTTTCACCAAAACTGTATCTAAACTAATAGAAGAGTGTACTGCCACAATCAAAACACAAAAATTACAAAGAAAAAAGGAATGGATAACCCGAGGTATTATGATTTCCATAATGAAAAGGGATCGGCTCTACAAAAAATATAAAAATAATAATCAAAATCAGGCACTGAAAGAAAAGTTCATAAAGTATAGAAATAAACTAAATGACTTGATGAAAACATCCAAGCAGAACTACTACAAGGCTGAAATAGAAAAAAACAAAAATAATTCGAAAAACATGTGGCGGGTAATAAATAATATAACGGGAACAAAAAATAAATCAACTACCACAGATTTTGTATTTAACAATAATCAAGTTTTAGCAAAGAGTGATTTCGAAACCGCAGAAATATTTGCAGATTATTTTACTAATTTTGGCCCTGAATTAGCTGAAAAGATCACCAAGCCTTCTACAAGACCCCCAGCGGCAAGGAGGATCCTGAACTCTTTATTTCTTCGCCCCACAAATGGAAGAGAAATAATTGATTTTATTATTACCTTGAAAGACAATAAAGCTCCAGGAATTGACGGAATAACTGCAGAAACATTAAAGTGTATTGCCAATGAGATAGCATCTCCCTTATCATATATCATCAACAGAATACTGGAAAAGGGTCTTTGTCCCCCAGAATATAAGGTTGCGGTAATTCAGCCAATTCACAAAGCTGGAGATAAACAAGTGACCTCTAACTATCGACCCATATCTTTGATAAGTAATTTCACGAAAATATTCGAAAAAGTGTTGAAAGTCAGAATAGAAGCATTTATGCAGAAATATGAATTTCTTTCTGAATACCAGTTCGGCTTTCAGAAAAATAAGTCTACTGAAGATGCAATATCAGGCCTAACATCGAAAATGTATGGAGCAATAGACAAGAGCAAACCATCTTTATGCGTATTCCTGGATCTTGCGAAGGCCTTCGATACTGTGGACCATAAACAGTTGTCGGAGGCCCTGCACAATATGGGTTGTAGAGGTAACATTCTAAAGCTCTTTGAAAACTATCTCGAAAATCGCAAGCAAATCGTTAGAATTGGTCAACAAAAAAGTGATGAAAGAACAATTAGATGTGGAGTTCCACAAGGTACAGTCCTGGGCCCCATCCTTTTCTTAATTTATATCAATAACCTTCTCTCCATAAAAACCACCGAAACCATATTTAGTTTCGCCGATGATACATCAATTTTCTACACTGCAGAATCCTGGGTTGAATTGAAACATAAAGTAGAATTAGATCTTCAAAACATAATTAATTGGTTCAACCATAAATTATTAACAATCAATTTCAAGAAGACCATGTTCCTTCCAATATCCAGCTACACTAATAATCTACCAGATTACACCTCTCTTGATATCATCAATGAAAATGAGACTATCACCATCAAGAAGACGGATAGAGTCAAATACTTAGGAGTAACCATTGATTGCCACATGAGATGGGATCTCCATATCACTCAAATAATTAAAACTCTCCGGACTTTGTTACATAAATTCAAACTCCTCTCCCAACTCATGGAATTACCCCAACTAAAAATGATTTATTATGCACTAATAGAATCAAGATTGAATTATGGAATACTAGGGTGGGGGGGAATGGCCAATTGCTATTTGGAGAAATTGAACATCTTGCAGAAGCTCTTTCTCAAAATAATGCACAATAAAAATAGGAGATTTTCCAGTGACCAGTTGTATGAAGAAACTGGAATATTTGACACTCGCCAGATATATTTCTGTAAATTAGCTACATACTGTCATCAAAATAAGCAAAAATTTTGTTCCTATACACATTCATACGAAACTCGAAATAAAATAAATGAAAACTCACCAACTGCCACCAGCACCAAAACTGTTGGACAAAGGAGTCATATGTTTCTGGCCTCCAGAATCTACAATTTTCTACCCCAAACCATTAGAAATATAATTCCTCGCCATATTTTCAGATATAATGTGAAAAAATTCTTGCATTCCGTAGAAAGAAGTAGAATTCACCACATTATAAATAATACAGCCCCTCCGAATTAAATAAAATTTCATTTGATAGCTTTCACCGCATTCTCGATCAATTCATCATCAAATATTTCCCAATAACTTCTTGATGTATTTTATCACTTATTTTTATTGTTATTCATTCAGTCTCAGTCGAAAAATCATATTAATAATCTATAGTATTGTTATACTCAATTATTAGGAATTTAGTAGGTACTTTTTAAATCACTCACACCGCGGACAGCCAGTGGCTTTGCGGTTTGTCCCTCTGTTTATTTGCATTCATAGTATATAAGATGTTATATTGTTGAACTTTATCCAAATAAACCTTATTATTATATAGAACCATATTCACTACAGAGATTCTATGAGAAATAACTAATAATTTTTTTCATTATGTGATACCTACCTCCATGTATCTCGTTGTACATGTCATGTGTTCTTTTAGAATAATATTGTTCTGACTGTAATATTTTCATCAACTCAATTTGTTGTTAGTTACGCTATATTTTCAATCATTCAACTTTTGACGACAATTTACACATACTTATATTCATGAGTTCGTAATATGACTTGAGTTTTGTGACTGTTTTAAATTGAAAGCTTCAATGAATCTATCTATCTATTTATCTATCTATCTATCTATCTATCTATTTATCTATCTATCTATTTATCTATCTATCTATTTATCTATCTATAATAGCGATCCACAAGATAGATAAAAAAACCTGGACAATATTTCCAAACTTGAATTCGTTACTCTTATATCAATCGCATCATCCGCTGGCTTTGACATATTCATGCTGATGCGCTTTTATGAAAATGATGGAAGGCGCAAGAAATTCATCGCGTTTGGTATCATCGTGCACAGCTCAATTATCAGAGGTAACTCAATCGAAACAAGAGATCACCTTCCTATGTCGGCGAACTTCCATTCGATCTCATAAACATGATGAGCATCGATGAATTCCTATTAGCTTGAATGTGATAGACGGTTCAATAGACCTAGCCTAATTGAATTGATGCGGAAACGATAGCATAATTATGATTCTGATCCTGTTGAGAGCATAGGGGTGGATTTCTGTTTGAGACGATATCCAATGATTTTGAAATACACTATGTTCAGTTGAAACAGATCGACTGTGATTATTAAATCATGTTGCATATTGAACGTTCATTCTGACGGTGATATCAACCTTATCAACAGTGATGCTCTGATATCAAAAGGTAGCAGGTGCGGATGCATGATTTTGCTCAGAGTAAGGGGAATTTCTCTATGATTATCGTTTCACTGGAATGTAACACAGTTGGAAGTATCTACTATTCACAATCATGACATGGGTTCAAATCAGATGAAGTGAGAGAATCAATCTTATTTTGACGGAATAATAATGAGGTCTTCTTGAAGCCTCCGATGATAACGAGCAACCGCGAACAAATCAGTACTAGACAACTGGTACGATGCTTTTCGATGTTATGTCACATTTCAGAAATCCGGTATGAAGTAGTGTCAGCACTAATTCATCACGAGGTTCTATACGTCCTCTCATTGGCAAAAAATACCCTGTGTAACAACTCAATCTTAGATCTCTGCATATAGCATGGTACCACTGATTGGTCTAGACATCTGTCATGTCATGTCATTGTCTGCAGATTTTGCTAATCGACCAGACACTTCAGCGATATCATTTTCGATTTTTTTGTTAGAAAAGATCCCTATATTTTCAAACAAAAAAATTTCAGAACAGAATATTTTTTGTAGAGCTCTCTTGTTAACCCTCAAGTACTACCCACGGGTCAAACTGACCCAGTGATATGTT